AGTTTCTGCTTGATGCGGATACAACAGCACCCGATACAGCCGCTTACCACTCCCCACGGGAAAATTCAGCGACTATGGAGATTCCTCTCGTTCCGAGAATCCCGCCCAGGCTCTCGCAGTACGTACTGGCTTCCCCAAGCATTCCTGCTTTGTAGCCAGAGGTTCATGGTTTCTCCGATCGACTCAGATCGTCGGCCTTTGCCACCTCAGCTTAAGCTCTGGGGCGAGGTTACCTGACCTTTGGAGCCACCAAACTTACCCCCTCCTCTGTGCCTTCTAGCCAGCCGAAGTCGACATGCACATTACCGAACATCCTCCGGCGAACCCGGCAGTCCTGATGTGCGGTCTCATTTCGTGTTTTTATAACGACCGGGTCTCTCATTGGCTCTCGTATACATTGAACAACGGATCGCAGGCATGTCATTTAGGACGTCGATACTTTGCAAGGGGTCTTCCGTGAAAACCGGTCGCCAGAGTCTTCTTCATGTCTCTCCCAGGGTCCCCTGAATCTTATCCATACGGACAGTGATACATTGCTGTGAACTCCAACCATATAATATACCCACATGTCTTCTGATTGGGGTGAACACTCCTCACAACGCGTCTGTGACTTAGGGTACAAACATCCCTCGGCAGCCTCTCCTGCTCACAAAGACTCCGCATCCCGTGGGATTCGCATCGGGTCTCCGAGAGGTCTGTCGAGACCTAGATTACGGTCGACGCCGCTACGATCGAGCCAATACTTACATGGCACTCCCTTCCGGCCAACCTGCATTGCCCGAACATTGATTAATCCAATAGCTCGGAGGGTCGGTTGGTAATCTGATACAGTAGTATGTGTGCCATCATACTGCGGTCTTTCAACTTGTTTCGACAGGGTCTACATCTCAAAGATGTCCACATTCGAATGCATCATCTTATCATCGGAGGAACACTGTGCAGTTCTCCAGTTGTCGGACGCTCTGTACCATCTTGCGTACCTGCCGGGATGCAGACGCTTCTTATCATAAATTCCTACCAACCAATCTGCCAACTGGACGTCCCTGTCCAGATTTCTTATTGTCCCCGCCCTGTCATTCATGGAGAATTCCCCCCCTGACATGGGAAAACATTTTGAGGTGGCTTGTCAATTATGGACCTACTCCCGCGGCTATCTCGGTCTGCCCACGCCCGGTGTCTCAAGGAAATATAGGTACAATTCAATTGATCCCAGGTGGCAATCTTCTCAGCATATTCCCGTAGCGCGTAATAATGCAGCTTTGCATGCAACACTTCCCTAGTATCGGTCGGAGCCGACACTTTTTCATCGATATGGAAAACGTCCAATGGGTCATTTTACCTTCCTGATGCGAGAAGGAAGTGGAAGAAGCTCGTGCTCGTTATCGTGGTGTCCGAATATCTGCCATCAGTACGACGACGATCATTCATTTTGGTCCTGCACATTAGATTTGCTAGATCGTTAACCCAGCCCAATATTTATAGGGTCCGCGGCCTGCAACATGTATAGCGCAAGACGATCTGACCGGGTATGTCTGGCTCTGTCTTCGTCCTGTCCCTCTGCATCTTACATTGTGATTTCTTGACGGCCAGTCTGTGCTTCGCAGCTCTCAGGCTGTATCCGATTTCATCATATATAGCGCAGGTATGACATGCCGGATGTCCCTGGCATGGGAATTGATCGTAGTCCTTCTGACACCATCTTAGCAGTCTGTCAAGCTTCCAAACATCAGCGTGATGATCTTACTAGATCCATATGGTCCCATTGATTGATTTGTGTACGTTGTCATTATGCGCTGCGCTTGTCTGGAACTGAATAGATTATCAAGCCCTGAATCGAGTCGAAGTTATCAGACAACGTCAGAGGACCTACGTATAAGTTTGCGCATTGCAACTCGGCGCTGATACAACGCGTCGCGCGCAGTGGGGACCCCGTCAATGTCCTATAAAGCTGACATTATCATGTTCTCCCCTCTTTGGCGGCTTTCCACGCCTGAACAGTTGTGCCGTATGTTCTAGCTCTCTGCTGTGAACTTCTTCGTCGTCCCGGAATGTGCGGAAGCTCGCTCTTGCGCCGCTAGTGTCGGGCGGTTGGCCTGCAATAGTGACATCTAGGCTTCACAGTGAACGTCTAGCCTACCATCTCGGAAAGCCACGTCAGTCACTTCCACCGCCTACAACTGAAAACGATGATATTGATGATGCAGTCCTTCTTCGCCGTGCTATGAACTTCTGCCCGACATCCAGTGTTTGGTGTGTACTAGTAGCATCCGGATCTCATGATGCTTGTATCTGTGTACTTGGATAGATCTAGATGTGCTACAGATCCTGGCTTGCCTAGATGGGAGGCGCATCTAGATGTTGCCGTGTCCGCACAGCTCCCTGACTGATCACAGTATGGGTGTTCGAACGCTATGCCTGGTATTCCTCGAACGATCTATCTTCGCTGGAAGCCAGAGGGGAGGGGCATGCCAACTTAATCTGGCGTCTATAATGCCGTATCTCGAGAGATCGAAGTTCCGGTGAGGGTTCTTTCACGCATTCTCTGAAGTGTCACGGCATAATTATCTCTTCTAGCGGGGGGGCTACATATGTTCATTTAGCCCCACTTCTCGCCGTATCGCTTCCTCAAAATCAATTTAACAAGGGTCGATATGGCGAATATGTGGTGGGTGGCAGCGGCTAGCCAGGACTCGGCTTGAGTAGCCTTCAGTGCATCTACGAATCTATCCTTCTCAGCCGTGGCGTTCTACACGTGTCATTCGCAGCATTCGTCCGCCTCAAGGCAAGTGCATGCCATTTAGCTCCATGAAGAGCCGAACATTCAAAATGTCATGGCTGCTGCTTTCCGAGGTGACCATGGAAAAGCTCGGGAAATAGATGGGTTACCTACACACAGGCACCAACCAATGTGAAATAATCGCGTCGTATTCACTTCCAACTGCACCCCTGGAGACCTATATATGCCTGGAATCCCAGATAGCAGGATGCAATCCACATTTGTAATGGTGATGTTCTCTCGGCACAAGCAAGCATGCTAATGTTGAGAACTTTGGAGAATTATTGGGCTCTTTTGAACATTCGCGTTCGATAAGCGGCCGAAAGCACTCGCTCATGTGCCATACATACTGATCCACATTTTATTTCCCACCGATCAGTATAGTTGGGGAATCTGGGCTACGATGAGCGCTCCCAAATATACGACCCCTTGCAAGATCCTTCCACTGTTGTCCGACCCGATGTGCGGCGTGGATAGAGCGGTCACACGTTGTTACAGGGAGAAGCCCAAACATCTAGTGTTAGGTCTACTCCGTATAGATTTCTTTGTGGGGGATTGAGTGGATCCCGAGAACGAAGGCAGGTACTTCCGTCAGCGTGAGACAGCTCTCGCGCACGGCCCGCCGGAACTAGATCACAAGACTGCATCATTGTAAGTGCCTTTGCGGTCACAACCTGTATTGGATACCAGTTTAACATATGCTCTTGGCTGTTGAGGGGACGAATCGTAGGTGCGGAGCGCTAGAAGAGCCAAACGTAACTGTTGTGAGAACGCAATGAGATCTACTTAGTCAGAAGACCAGGAGCAGTGGTTGAAACGCGGACGACTATAGGAAGTACTAGACCCTAGTACTGCAACCTGGGATGCAGGAACGAAGGAGCGTATGAGAGTAAAGCTTAGCCATTACATAAAGGTGACGTACTTGCCTCCGAACAACTAGGCATTCCCACTGTCTTCACTACACGTGGTACTCCTTCTATAGACCAGGGTCTTAACACATTGATATAGCACTGGGCTTCGTGGGTATCGAATATAGACCGATTCAAGGTGACGCAGGAAACGCTAGTCAATCATGCGCGTATCCTTCTTCTTCCTCTTCTTTCCTTCCGACCCGAGTATGTCACCAGACTCGCTACTCCTCTCTCGTTTAAGGCGCGGGTGGCCCTCACGCCGGGTGGTATTTGTGCGGGCAGCTGGTGCGTCTACACCAGCGGGCATCCTGAAACCAGCTGCGCTCTGAGGCGTTTGCAAGCCAGCTGGCGGTTGCCGGATAGCATCCTCTCGAATGAGTTCTTGCGCCGTTTTCATCTTGACTTTCTTGTCCTTCTGTTTGATAGGAATAGGAACTTTGAATCCAGATATAGACGTGATACGAGTGGAAGGTTGGCTCTCTTCCATAATCACGTCTGTGGCCTCGGGAGGAGGTTCGTCTACGGGCTTTGCGGCTTTATGAACGGAAAGAGTAACGTGGGTGATTGAATGAATACCTTCACTTCCTGTCCTCGCTCGTTGAATTTACGGCGCCCTCTTGGCCTTGCATCTGGAACAGACGAAGATTCGTCCATCGAGGATGCAAATATAAATGGCAAATAAGAGGATTCATGCGTCACGGATGACGATCTAAGGGGAAAACTTCTCAACCAAGCTCACAGCGTTTCGAGAGAACTCACCTTGTGGTATCGGGCGAAGAACCAATACCCCAAGCATCTTTGACTTCTTGTGGCATTTCCCACTCGGCATCATCTTTGATCTTTGCTTGCTCGAGCTCGACTTGTGCTTGTTGCTTTGCTCGTTGAGCATTTTGCATAAATCGTAGACTCAAGGTGCCATTGCTGAGTGTTTTCGACATGATAGATCGTCGAAGTAAAGAAGTGGCCGCGTGCGTGAGACGCCGGTTCTGCAATCTGAACCTGAGTGTGTGGTGAGACGCGCATACACTGGGTTAAATATTTGTTTTGGTAAGTAGTAAAACCAGATATAAAATGTGGATAAATGACCTAGATTTTTTAAGTTTTTGAGAGTGATAAAAACATGAACAAAATATAGCAAATCCGAGATATAACTGGAAAACATAATCAAAACTATAAGTTATTTGTAAGTTATACATTATTTATGTGAAATACAAAACTTTAACAAAACTAGGATTTTTATTTACAGATAGGTTCCAGTTTTGACAGCGTCAAAAACAATCAAACAACCCAGTGATAGAAGTTAGATCGGTGTTGCCATCGTGGCGTAATGGTAGCGCTTCGCTTTCCTAAAAAGGATAAACAGGCGGGGGTTGCGGGTTCGATCCCCGTCGGTGGTAGTCGGTTACTTTTTCCTCCAGCTGGCTTATGAATTTTGAGATTACTTACTCACAGTGCTTTCTGATACTTTCGCCGAAATGACTGCTTGTGCAGAAAATCTCCTCAAATACCATGTACCGGGCTCTCAAGATGCTTATTACCTTCCCAATTTTGTAACTGAAGACGAAGAGACATATCTAACACGAAAGGTGCCAACACGAGTATCCCCTCCTTGCCATTCAAATGTTGATGACATACTATCACTTTGAACCACACGGTTGGTTCGATTAGATCAGCGAATCGCCTCGCCAGAAGTGGAAGATACTTGCCAACCGGCGGTGAGTTCGGAAACGTGTCCATGAATGACTGCTCCCCTCGTACTAAGAAATATTAACATTGATCTCATTGGCATGCTCCTAGATTGCAGATATGGGGTAACACATTCAAATCCTTTCCGAAAAAGGTTGAAATAGCTTGTCTTTCTACATGCAGGCGGTGATCTTACCCCAAAAAATGTTCTACTTCCGCAAACACTCCCGGACTACATCACTGAATTGTCTGTGACATCCATTCCCTCATGTTTCTCATTAATCGTAAATACTATTCTGCAGTCCCGACATCATCGGTCGCATACAATCAACTGGCGCATTCGATAAATCGCCGCATGGTCGTCCAAACCACGTTATATTAAACGAGGTAAGTCTTGACCTACTACAGGTAGTTCAAGGAAGCTGATAAATACCATCTAGTACCTCCCAGGGCAAGGCATCATGGTATGATAGAAGACACTAGTCCGTCTGGCATTGGATCTGATTGTGCCGCAGCCTCACGAAGATGGTCCTTCATATCATCCGGCAGTCGCCACCCTTACACTCGGTTCACATGCAGTTTTCCATTATTATCGGTACAAGGCGGATTCCGACCCTTCTGACCAGGCCCCAGAGGATGTCGGGAAGGGGCGTCCGATTGCGACCACTCCTGTCATGACAGTCCTCCTGGAACCCCGCAGTCTAATCATCACTACCTCTGAGCTATACACGAATCATCTGCACGGCATAGACGGAATAGAAGAAGATGTATTTCCATCGAGTAGATATCAGGTGGATAACGCGCCTCTTTTGGGTGATGAGGCAGCCAAGGGAGCTGTTCAAAATGGAGGTACCTTGAAGAGAGAGGTCAGATATAGCTTGACATGCAGGGATGTGGAACGTGTCGCCAGTGCTCGGATAGCAATGGGACGGCGATGAAACGAACATTCCATCTTAAACGTGTATCTGGGCTCGATTTCTGATGAATGAAGGATGCAGTTCGTAGCGTTCACTTCCCATCTTCACGGGGTGCTGAAAACGGCCTTAACGCGAGCCGCATCAGCGGGATTGACTCGACATTCAATATCCGACTTGCGCATATTTATTCAACTCTACGAAGACAAATAGCCCATGCCAGAATCCGCCAGTCAGAGCCAGTCAGAGCACATCGATACACGCTGCAGCGCTTGATAAGGGCCGCCGTCACAGCATCCCAACATGGAATGATATCTCAGCACTTTATGCTACAACAAAGCTTCAGTGTCATTTCCGCATGGAAAGAACATAGTAATCTTACTAATGAATCTATAGGACTCCAAGACCAGCCTTCAATTCCCTCTCGAGGTCGTCCGCAGCCGGGTCTTTCGCAGCGGGTGTCCGAGTAGCGTCTTGTTCTTCGGATACGCACCGTGAACACTTGCATGTGCCAAAACCCCACTCCAGGAGATGCTGTCTCCGCTGCTCCAAGGAGAGTTCCGGGTTGACGTATGTGATAAAAAGTTCTTCTCCTGGCTGGATGTCTGTTTTTGCAATAGCGTTGATCCGGGAAAGAGAAGTCCGCTGATCCAGGTGCCGTACCGAGATATTTGGAGTGCACGCGTGATTCATGTGGGAGTGTAGCACGTATACGCCGCCGTGAGCCTCCAGGTCTAGGCAAAGATACGAATCAGGGCCAACAAAAGAGAGACAAGCAAGCATATGAACTTAGGCTCATCCGTCCAAGACCACGTAGGAAGGCGTCATAATTGAAGAGGTAATCCAGCACTTCTTTGCGGATTGGTCGCTTTAGAATACGAGCGAGCTTGTTTTTATCGGGCTCAGACGTAGGATTCTGAAAGGCCTGGCAGTAAACTTCATAGGCCTTCTTCCAAGTGGCACGATCTGGTTCGGAGTTGCCCAGCCTTTGCGAAACTGATCAACATCATTGAGGAACAAGGGTACTAGTAAAGGGCTTACCAGCCGCTCCTAGCGCGGTCTTCCATGCCCAATTGGGCCAGGGAATGGACAAATTCCCAGTCAGAATCGAAGGCAGTTTGTTCTTGCTGCTCGTCTAGTAAAATCTTTGCAGTGCATTGTACAAGCGCATGTAGCGCCATCCATTCGTTCTTTCTAGCGAACGATAGTAACGGAACACAAGCTGGGTTCTGCCCGGGACAGAGTAAAGGGTGTGTTCTATTGGACCGGGACAGACAAAGGCGGTTGCAGAACCTTGCGTTGCATGCCGGGCTTCTGGAGTGAGCACTGCATGGAATTGCTGTTGCCAGACTGCTGAACGGAGTAGAACAATGCGCGCAAGCTACAGACGAAATTTGCATATCATAGATTGACCTGTTGACGAGCGCAAAATATTATTCTTTTCGGGATGAAATCTCGATAATACGTCGTGATAGTCATACCATTCTGGAGCCAGTATAAAAGGATCCTCTTTCCAAACGGCCTCCCCCGCTGCGATAGCCTCTTTCGCGACTAAGCCTTTCCCTTTACTGCGTCCAAAGTACCTGACTTCCACCTTCTTAGTCCATTTCCCTACATCAAGCCCCTCGACGACCTTCGACTCAGGGAACAAGCGTTCGCCTATAGGCTGCCATTTTTCGTTTTGCTTCGTTGCGGAGTTCAGGACCAACCCTTGATTTTGCAGGACTTTTCTTGTTCTTTTTTCGCTCACAGCCCAGTCAGAATGTTCCGACAACAGAAGCGCGTGCAATTTTGGTATGCCTAGAACGGGATTGAGGGATCGGAGTGCCACCAACGCCGTTACAAGGTCCTGTTCTGAAGGATTTTGCATGATACTAGGGAAGTTTTCAGGGTTGTAAGTGGTTGTGCGAGCGGAGGAATCGAATCAGCGTCCTGTCACCGGGATCAGTGACACTCTTATTAGTCATCTGCATAAATATATCCAGTCCTCCTCCTCCTCCTCCTTAAAAGATTGATCGTGCTGGCAGGCGGTCTCGATCTGAAGATCAAAGGAGGGATTTCATACATCCTCTGCTATACAGCCACCATATGTGCCACGAGTTGGTAACAGGCTATTCGGACATATTCAAATGTCATTGTTTCGCCCACATCTATGAGCGCGGAAATTTGCCTCGGAATTGCCTCGGTGCGGTTAATAGGCTGCTGGTTACGCAAAACTCGCTGGCGTCGGGATGTTCAAGGGCAATCGCCAGTGTCTAGGATCATGATATGCGCAAAACAGTGCTAGTACTATCATGCGGAAAATGGTGAGCTAACTTCCTTTGTATGTTGGTTGCAACATCACTGATGCTCATGAGTGTGCCTTCCAGAGTCGGATCGATTGTTCCACTGAGGTTGAATGGTTGCCTTCGGTGCCTGTTCTTGAACTAGGCGTCCGGGGCAGTACGCAATTTGGCGTCTGTAGAGATCTAGGCCCGTCATACAATTCTTGAGGTCCGTAATTCGGGGTGCTGTGACAGCCTTTCATTATGAACCCTTGCCTCGAGATTCATTGCCTCGGCGGTGGTCCAGGGCCTTGACGTTCTGCGAGGACTCGGAGATTTTCCGTAAGTACCCTCTTTCCTTTCACTGGCTCTTTTCATGGTCGCCAAGCATTGCCCATGTATCCCCAACCCTGGGAAGGCGGTAAAGAACACACGAACATGCACAATAGCAAAGAGAGTTCCATCCCCAGATCAAATTTCGGCCATATTATACCGCGGTCATCTATCAGTTTCCACATTGTGACAGTTAATGTCTACTATGGCGTTACCACTTTCTGTTTCGCACAGAAATAAGGCGTGCACAATGTGCATGCAACGGCATATATATGCCGTCCACATGTCCCAGAACGTCTACCAGCTCCACTGAAGTACCGTGCCCTCATCAGTACGTACCAGGCGTGCCCTTGAAGGTGCTTGATACTAAACCCATTAGGTCGCAGATGGACCGAATGCAACAGACAGTGACTATCATTGACGGAATGGAGGATGAGCGAGCGGCTCAGCCTAAAAGGATTCCCATGGCTTGCAGCTTCTGCAGGAGTACGACTCTTTCCAAAATGCATCATATATGCTCTGACGATCCCTTCACAGAACGCAAGATCAAATGTGACGGTAGAAAGTCTTCGTGTTCGAACTGCGAGAAGCGGGGTACCACATGTACATATGTTCCTGTGTGAGTCCCTATGCACCTAATCGCCTTGATCACATCTGACCAGCCCCTGCTTCGGCCAGATCGGAAGAAATCAATGGTGCTCCCGCCTCTCGTTAGCTTGGATTGTACGATACGATCTTACCGTCGGTGGACGATCGCCTGTGGCGTTCCATATGTAGACTCTTGTATGCAAGTTCAGTATGTAATTTTTAGGCTCGACGCGGCAGAATCAGAACCGTCGTACACTCGTATACATCGCCACCCACTGAATGCACAGAGATGAACAGGTTAAAGTCGGATTGTAGTGTATGCCAGTGGTCTGCGATAAATTCGCTTGGTCCATACAACGTGCAAATACATATTACTTTGATTCCTTGAACTGTGATAGAACATATGTGGTGTTTAAATCTAAGGTACTGGTGTCCGGCACCTCGTAAGGACATCCTAAGTTACAAGAGCAAAGGGTCTCCGAAATAAATGCCGCAAACATGGTATTACTCTCCCCCTTTTTTAGCAACTCTTCAGTCGATTGGAAAGTCGAACGAGGAGTAAATTGCAAGGGAAATGTGCGAGAACAGCGCGAAAACGCCGTAGATTATTAT